GACAGGCTGACAGACGGGCAGGCAGGCAGACAGACAGACACACGGATAATGTTGAACGGACAGGGGCAGGCAAGCAAACAGACTAACGGACGGATGAACAGACAAATGAACGAATGGACGGACAGACAGGCAGAAATACAGATAGCCACACAGACAGACAGACAGACAGACAGACAGACAGACAGACAGACAGACAGACAGACAGACAGACAGACGGAAAAATGGCGAACGGACAGGGGACAGGCAGGCAAACCGATAGACGGACAGATGAACAGTCGGATGAAAGAACCGACGGACAGACAGACGGACAGACAGACAGACAGGCAGAAAGGCAGACAGAAAGGCAGACAGAAAGGCAGAGAGAACGACGGATAAATGACGAATGGACAGGGAGACAGGCAGGCAAACAGACAGACGGATGGATGAACGGACGGATGAACGGAAAGACAGACAGACAGGGTGACAGACAGACAGACAGACAGACAGACAGACAGACAGACAGACAGACAGACAGGGTGACAGACAGACAGACAGATGCATGGACGGATGGACGAACAGATGAATGTACGGAGAGACCCCTATTGAAAATCCTGGCTTGGTAGATGCTGGAATCGTTGATGAATATGGTGGAACGAATAGTGGATAAGGTTGAAATATTAGTGGATATGTTGGAAACTGCAATGGGCATAATGGCTGATGACGGCGACAGTGGAAAAAATGATGGCAGATGTTGGTGGTGGTGGCGAGCCAATGGTGGTGACGATGGAAAATGCCGGCTGATGATGGCGAGGCAAAATGTGTTTGGAGGAAGGCCGGGTGAGCAAGGTAGATGACGGTGGCGTGATGGAAGCTTGGTGGATGATGGTGGCATGATGAAAAAGCACATGGCAGTATGTGAAATCACGTGACCTTTTGTAGTGTTTCATTCTTGAATGCGCAGAGATATATGTTTAGGGTCAAAAGAAAAATGCGCTGTCACTTACTGGTCGCTACCAGATCACCGGAACAAGCGCCAGCGGGAAACAAACCCCGGTATGACTTTTCGTCTTCCAGATAAAATCAGTCGAAGACATGCTAATATACTGCACCGGGTTCGCCTGGGCGTCGCCTTCACTCACCACTACACCCACCTAATCGGCCGTGCGGACAGCCCTAATTGTGAACAATGCCAAGTGCGCGAAACGATAGCTCACATATTTTGTGACTGTGCATTATACGTGGCCTCAAAGAAAAATGCTAACTGCAACGTTGACAAGCATTGGACAAACACCATTAAGCGAAAGCCACATATTGTCAGCAATGAACGACCAGACAGTGTCAAAAACTGCTACAAAGGCTGTTCTAGATTTTATAAAAAGCACTGGACTAGAAACAAGACTGTAGGGTACTATGCTAAGTGGCTACTGTACATACAAACCACCTCTTCTCGTCTCCATCATCACCCTTCATCCCTCTTTCCTTCCCCTTTCCCATATCCCCCCGTGTAGAGTAGCAGACTAGAGTGAACTAGGTCAGGCCGACGTCTCTGCCTTCTAATAAATTCTCACTCTCTCTCTAGAGCAGCACATAGAGGTCACTTGATGTAGGCACGCTAGAAACACATCTCTGGCCATTTTCGCACACTCTATTGCTTGAGCCATACCTTTAAGTTAAAAAAGTGCATGCGAATATGCATAAACTTTAAATTTCCACATGCGTCAAGATGCGCCCCAGCAAATTTGACTTTCACCCTCCTGTTTTACCACTATGATTTCCACCAAAAGTTAAAGTCATGGTGACCGAACCCGTACAAGTGTTACCGGCACTTCTGGGCTTCAGAATACACAATTTCGATGAGTAAAAATTACAATACAGTAACACCTGTGGCATCATTTACCCTAAAGGAAGCCTTTTCTTATTGTGTATGGTGTCCGCGCTAGAAGCGACAAACATCGATATGACGCGCTTGCAGCACTTCCACCAAATATACGCCTTCCCTCGCCGACAGCCGCCGGTCGCACTCGCCGGCACTTCACTGGCTCTTAGGCGAGAACACAGACTCCTCAATTCGTATGCTTACTGAACCAATGAAATAACAAAATGTTTCTGGCGCACTGCATTCTTTTTGGCCAAGTCATTATGTAGTTGTTTCTAACGACAGAGCAACAGCTGTGTGCTTGCACGACTGCGCTGTGCGTTGCGCGAAAATCATCAATATCGATTGTGTGGGCGTATCTATCGAATGAGCATAGAAACATCATAAAGCCTGAACAGATATGATCCTTTGGAAGGAGCAAGAAACGGATAATAAACTTGGCCATAACTGCCGAATAACTCTACCTGCTCCTCAGTCCACTGAGCTGTTTTTCTTGCGGTTGCATATTGTAATAAAAACATGGCGACGCTGCCATTATCGCAGTGCAAATCGTTACAGGCAGCAGTTCTTCGTGTTTATCAAATGTGCAAATTTCAGTAACAGGTGAAGATGCCGTTCATATCGAGTAAATAATACACAGAACTAAAGTTAAACAGTGAGTTTGTCACTTGACTACTTCTTTAACACCACAGTTGTCATCTGTCGGCGTGGCGCAGTGATTAGTGAGCTCAGTTTGGAATCCGAAGGTGGCAGGTGGAAGGTGCCGCGTCTTTTTTTTACGGGTGCTTTTTACATCGCTTTTTATACAATTACTTTTAGTATTTCTGTAATGAGCAGCTCGTCACGGTGGTTCTAACAGACTGATCGGACAGACTGACGGTCAGACGAATAGAAGGAGGATTCACGGTTTGCCGGTAAAACTTTCCGAAGCTTTGCCCAACCCATGATCATTTACTCCATGGATATGCTGCAATTTTTTTATGTTCACGTGCTCACGGACTTCAAAGTTCCTGAGAGCGTTTTTTCTCGCCGAGTGTACTTTAGCAGAAACATGGCTCAATCTTTCCTTTAGTATCTCGTACATGCATGACATGCAGCTATCAACAAATCTGCCTTTTCACCCAGGCTTGCGTGGATGACTAAGGAACAGCGCCAAAACGTAATGAAAGCGGGTGCCGCAGTGGCGCCTGTCCTGTGCCTGAGACGATTGCATTTGACTAGGTTCTTTCACATGCTAGTTTTTTGCCTGGCTGTGGTCTATAACTTTTATTATTGTCATTCATTTCAAAAGGCACCGCACCGATAACGACTGCCATGCAATAAACAATAGACGTGCACCCAGAGACATATTCATGATGCTCCCATTGACACTGCCCTCACCTCTACTACCTCGATTGACTTTGATCTTTCTTATGAACAGCATGGCACAACCATGGAGCGCTTAATGAAACGGCCCTTGAGCATTGTTAATGAAATGTTAGCGACAAAATAAAGCTTGTCGGTCGTATACTAACATCGAGAGGGAACCATGGCTGAGTGCGAACAAGGAACTTTTATCTTAAACATTATTTCATGAACTCGCACTGCGATATTAAATCAGCACTCTTCAACGCCTACGTATTGTTTCTTTGGGTGTGGTTTTCGGTGCATGAAACTTTTGTACTGGGGAAAGTGTGCCAATGTCTGTTTCAAGAAAACTTGTTTGAAGATTGAGCTTCGCCTTCAAGACTAGTGAACGCGATAGCGTAATCAGGCTCCATGTGTGTCTCCTCATCAAATTCTAGCGTGACTTCAGTTGTCACAGGATGCTTCAACTATGCCGCAAAAAAAAAACGATCGTTAGCATACGTAACATGTGTTGTTTAAATTTATTTCAGGATGCTTACAGCAGGTACAGTTACCCACTACACCATATTTATTCCGTTTGGAAACGAAGGATGAGTCCGCTACCCGTCATTTAGGCAAACGTGAACCTGCGCAGCTATTGACTTCGTCTAGGCGCTTTGTAATAGGCTGGCCTTGAAAACACTCATTCTTTGTGTAATTTTCATGTGTTGACGCCTAGTGTGTTGTACGCTTCAGGCACACAACCCTATATGCATTAGAAAGAGTCGTCTGATTACATTTTGTTTTATATATTTTTTCCCGAAGGAGCTTCAAACAATTACCTGAGTGATTGGTAGAACACCAGTGCTTGCTACTTAAAGGACTTGGGTTCAATTGGCGGTCAAACTGCTTTTTACTATTTATTTATTTGTAGGTAACTCGAATTTTGATTTAAGAGAAACCCTAGTTCATCGCTCGCAACCATACCAAGCCAATGCAGACACCAGAATTTACCGTTATTCTAATAATGTCTGAGGTGAAGTACTCTGCCTGCACATTCGAGGCTTATATAGAAAGTGCCATACGTATTGCACTTGTAATAGACGAGCACTAAAGTTGAAGTTAGATATAATTGTAGTATGGCTATTGACTTCCGAAACGTTTGTGTAGGATCGATTTTCTTACATTTCTATCTACACTTTACCTGCCGCTGCGGATGTTAAATTCGTAAAATATACGCACTAATTGAACATCAAACTTCACGCTTCTTCAGGCCTCATGATTACCCAACACTATATTTTCATCAAAAATTCAAATGCAACTTTAATGTAACGACACGTTCCAATTTCTAAAATGTAACTATGACAAGCTTCCTTAGCATTTAGAGAACTTGTTACCACAAGTCGTTCCAAATTGAATGACGAATGAGCTTTCGTTCGCCTTTTAGAGGAACGTGTACAAGACTGCATTCATATGGCTAACTCTTAAGCTGGGAATGCGAATCAAAATTTTGGACCATATTATCATAAAAACTCCAGGTTCAATGAATATCAAATGAACCGGCTGTCTATTTTCAACTGAATCGTGTGATACACCTGAACCCTCAAGTTTCAAAAAACTTTGTATTTCTGTTTCCGCATGATTCGAAAGGAGCTGCTCATCATTCACAATCAGTACACGAAAAGGGGAACCAGCATGCATGGTGGAAGCGTGAGGGGGGATCCCATCAGCACAAGTGGCACCGAAAGAAACAACATTACTTTGCCTTCCACTAATTAGCATATTCAAGACGGTAAAATACAGAGACTTCCATAGAAAATTATGTATCGAAATTCAATATTTTATTGCGGATTGAAAAGCATGGACTGCCTGTACTGTTGTGGGCAGTGTTGGGTCGTCATTCCTGTGATTCAAGTTTCCTGTCAGCCGTAGAATCCACGGCCGAAGCCTCCTCCGTATCCGCGGCCGAAGCCTCCTCCGTATCCGCGGCTGAATCCTCCTGCGTATCCGCGGCTGAAGCCTCCTCCGTATCCGCGGCCTAAGCCTCCTCCGTAGCCACCGAAGCCCCTCCCGAAGCCGAACTGGGCGGCGGCCATGCTGCAGACGACAGCGAGTACCAACAGGGCAAGGAGGAAGGACTTGCTGCTTGCGGCAATCATGACTGTGGTAATCTGCAGAAAGAAAATACATCACAAAGATTAAGCACTGTTTCAAATGACAAAATCTGGCATCAAAGCGCCCTTCGCGAATGCTAGCTAGATTCGGTGGTAGTCGACAACTGCCATCCACAATGACATAATAAAATAGTGACAGAGTGATGATTATATTATACATGAACGATAACATGACCTCCACCCTTTTATGCGTGAAGCCTCGAATTGTTTTATAGAGAAGCCAAAAAGTTTCGCCTATGATGTTGCTTAAGCATGTGCAGTATTTAATTTTTCATTTGGTGTTTGCAGTGCGCAAACTGCATTCCTGTAAAATATTTTTTGCAATTTTTATAAAGAATGTCTCATTCAAAGAAAAAAATGATATTTTAGAGCGCCTTTGTTTGGTATTGTGTGCGCTATAGTCATTGGTTTGATTGTAATTAGCTATCTATGAATACTACGGCGACGGATGCACCTAGAAAATTATGTCGAATTACTGTTGGACATAGGTTTCTTTTGGGGGGTGTGGCGGTTGCAGTTATTCAAAAGTGAACGTTATTCAATGACCTGTGCTTCGGTTGTCCATATTTTATCCCACGTACTTATTATGTCTCGACAGTAGCTTTGAGGTAATAATAATATATTAAATATTTGGGTTTCACATTGTAAATCTACGGTATGATTATGAGAAATCCTTCTCCGGAGACTTCAGTAATCAGGGGATTTCCAATGTGTACCTCCATTTATACTTACGGGCCTCGAGCATTTTAGCCTGCGTGGAAAATACGAGAGCCGCAGCTGGGATTCAGCCGCTGAGCACCATACATTACTTCTATAACCACGGAGGGTGTTTCGCTAGAATTGCCGAAGGCTAAACAAATGGCTGCTGTCGTTTTCAGACTCTGGGTGACATTTTAGGTTTAGCTGAACGACAGCTTTGGAACAATAAAGATGTAAAAATCGATAGGCGGGACATCACCATGTTTTATATAACCAGCAGTCATGTGTGCAAGTAAATAGCTTTACTCTGGTGCTGTGTGTGTGTTAACATAGGTCAGTGAGTATATCTGCCCTGCGATGACAGTCTGATAACAGCATAAGTTCAAAACAGAAAGCACAGCAAGCTGAAGTTGGTGACAGCACGAAAACGTCATTCGGACAGAGCTCAGCAGCTCAGCGTTCTGTTTGTCTTTGTCTAGGCATTCTATGTCAACTTCACTGATCAATGACTCCCGCCCTAAAAATGAGCTAACAACCAATAAGATTCTGCGCGATATACCAAAAACCAACATGTGAGGTATTTGCTGGCGAAAAACTAACCAATGGCGTGTACAGTGAATACACTTGACTATTTAGAGAACTCACTTGAGGTTTCTTTGTGCGCTGGCTGCAAAGAAGATTCTGTCTGGTAGAACGGTGAATGGGCCCTGTTTATATACCACGCTTTCCAATCACGTGCCGACACGTCTTTCGAGCATAAGCTGTCTAACTCGCTGGCAGGGCAGGGGACTTCCCAGCCTGGGAAGTCCCCTCCCTGCACAGCGATCAAAACAATGCGATACTGTCGTTGAGTGTCAAGACGCCTCTCGCATCGATGTGGAAAGGTCATTGGCAGATATGCTTACAGAAGCCTACGTCCACCTGTGCTACCCTAATGAGTAGAATAGAAGTGTGACGCTGTCTTCCTGCAACATCAGCCTCTCCAAGGCCAGTAATTAGTCATCCTGAAAAAGTACATTACGTCTAGCTCTAGAGATTTCAAAATATCGTAGCAATTTCCGGTGCAAATGAAAACCTATTCCGTGCTATTGGATGCAGCATCCGACTACGCGATTTTCTAACAGATTACCAACATATTGTACACCATATAGTACAATCTTCCGAGTAACATTTCTCAAATGAGGAAGGCTGTCTATCGCGAATATTTATTAGACAGGAGATATGAAAGCACAGGTAAATGTTTGTCACTGAATGACTTGGTAATTTTATTTTCCGCGCTTATCCCTTGCTGACTGATTATGTAGCGTTTTGCGTGTGTTTTTGGCAGTTAATAAAGCATATTGTAGTGAAACTTCTTTGCAAAGCAGAGATGGGAAGGGCCGTAAGGAAATGTCTCTTTGTTTTGTCTTTCTTTCTTTTCGTTTATTACGGTGTACTCGATTTACCTCTATTTATGATATGTCAGCGAACTTGTATTTTCTGGTTATGCCATGACAATGTAACCATTACCCCGTTTAACAAACTGCGTAGTAGGAATCAGTGCCGCTTTACACTTTTTTACCATAAGAACTCAGCTCCGACGCATTGTGCGAATACAGGTTATGCGAAGTAGACAGCTAGGGCGGCGTGACGCTTCAAGGAATAAATCAGTTTCGTGTTGTAAATTAGGTGGTTCTAGGTGTATCACGGGTGTGCAGCGCAGGTAACATGAACGGAGAGAGACAGGAAGTGCGATGCTCATAGTCTTCAAATAAAAGTTAGAAACTCCTCAGCAGAAGCACGACTATATAGCAGACATGGGGAAAGCGGTGGCCATCAGCAGTGTGTTTGCAATTTCAGGTTCTTGCTATACATCGACAAACGTAACTTAACCATCTTTGAACGCCTTCCTGCTTGCCTGCAGTAACAGCTCTAAGTCGTTCTACCGCAATACAAAGATTGTTTCTCTTCATAATCAAGGGTGCGAGCTGTGCTCCTGACTAAACAACACAAAGGGGTAACAGTTTCCGGCTTTGCACACAGAAACACGCCAATCGAATAGGACGATCAATGAGTGACACCTGTCTCAGTTTAGGTTTCATAGATTTCTCGAGGGTTCCGATGCTTCTGAGAATAAGCCTGTTGCATTACTTTGTAGCGTAACAGAATGAATGCTACAATCGTCACCCTGTCTATTGACTTCTAGTGAGTGTCTCTTTAGTGAACATTGCTTCTGTATGCTGCTAGTTCTCGGGATTCATTCATTAGGGTCTCTGATAAACCTCCCGGTCAACTTTAGTATTCTATGAACACATTTACACTATAGGTGGAGAGTGCAGTGATCTCAAAGCATAGTCTCACATTCTACACGCAACAGTCAGCAACGCGCAGTCACGGCATCGTTGAGTGTGTCAGCATATTTTAAACTCTGGATAGAACCAGCTGGGACGCCCATTAAAATGACAGGGCGCCGTTTATTCGCAGTCAAAGGCTAGTCTGAAAAATGGGATCTTTAAGATAATCTTGGACTACTATTATTTGTAAATAAGGAACTCGCATCTATGTCCAGCTACACGTCAGTGAATTTGATCGCTGACCATGTCAAAACTATACAGGTTTTGCAGCTCACTTTAATGCAAGTACCAGCTTAAATAATACGCGCACCATTGAAATAAACTGAGTGTTAAGCTATTTATTGCATGTGCCAAACATTTATTAGGAGCGCCAAAATATTTATTTCAAGCGTCAACTCGATTAGGCCGCGTATAACAGTCAGTTTAATTCAAGTAACACCATGTTTAATCCAATTCCCAATGGCTTTAATTCAAATGCCAGTAAGTTTAATCCGTGCACCAGGTACAAATGGTTTGCCGCTTTATTCAGTCTAAATGTTGGAATAATGTTAACGTGGAGCGACAGGAAGAACATCTCGCTCGCCTATACATACTAGCGCTTATGAAAGGACGGCCAGTGCTACATATTTTCTCCTGACGTTTGGTGTCATAGCTTCAAATTCAGAAAACAGTGCGCAATAATTGCATTCACGGGTAGTAAATGTACTTGCTCATGGAGTCCATGTTAGTCTATGCTTCATCGCTACTGCGTTATCACGGGCTAATCATCTACACCATCGCATATGCCGAGACTCATGTCGATCCTGTGCTCACAGACGGCTTTAGATTGCTGATTCGCTGAAGCGTTCGCAGTCCGGCGTTCGCAGTCCTGCTCATCCCGGTGAAAGCGATAGGGACCAACAGATGATATTAATCCGTTCTTAAAACCAGAAATAGCCATTTAAAAAAAACTAAGTCTTTATTTATTTCGGTAATATGAAATTAAGGTTTTTATTAAAGCATCAAAGGAGATGCTGCCGTTTTCATGTAACAGACGGCAATAGTGTTGCTGAAGCGTGTTTTCTTGAAACACGCGTGTTTCATCAGACACACATAATTTTGTTTGAATAAAAATATTGCCACGTTCCATTTCACAAGTTTTTGTTATCCTTTCGAGACACCACACGATTCTCGGCGCAAACCGCGCCTGCAGGTTTCGAGAAGGTTCCGGACTATAGTAGATCATTTCGATAAGATCACGCCCACTTAGTCCCGCGAAGAGCTCCTGTTTGACCCCTCATGCGAGGGGTCAAACAGGAGCTCTTCGCGGGACTAATGAGGAATCCACCGAACACCGTCCAAGAATTTGTATCCGAGGTGACCACCATCGAAAAAACGCTGGACATGCGCACCAGGCAGTATAATCGTCGCCTGACTCCAGAATGCGCTACTGCTCAAGCCAGTGACTCCGACGACCTGCGTGAAACGATCCGAGCGATCGTGCGGGAAGAGCTGCGCAAACTGTTGCCTTCGGCGCAGCCTCAAGTGGATTCGATCACCAACATTGTGTGAGAAGAAGTCCGGCAATCGCTTCGAATTCCCGAAACACCGCCGCCCGAGCCAGAAACTGTGAGCTACGCCGCTTCAGCGCGCCACAACACTCCTCCCCGTCCTCGCCAAAACGCCGCCCCGTCACACTTCCATCGCCAGACGCCACCGTCGCCACCACCCCAACCGACGTCCTACCGTTCCCCAGCGGGCCAGCGTGGTGAACCGAGGAAAACGGACGTTTGGCGTGCACCTGACAACCGCCCGCTCTGCTACCACTGCGGCGAGGCCGGGCACACATACCGCCGTTGCCCGTACCGACAGATGGGACTGCGTGGCTTCGCCGTCAATGCACCGCGTCCCCAGCCAGGAGATCGGCCACGTGACATCGCCGACTACCTGGCAGGAACTCAATAAACACCACGAAGTCCTTCCCGTTCGCCGTCACCTAGGCGCCGCATGTCACCGCACCCCCGGCAGTACTCTGGCCCAACGCGGGGCCGGTCTCCTAGCCCGTATCCGGGAAACTAAGGGCAGCTACCGATGGAGGTGCGGTTGCTGTGCGACGAACTACCGAAGATCCTCCGACGTCGACGCCGACGCGACGGACCTTTTTGAACACAACACCAACCAGGCAAAGCCCTGAAGGCAAAAGCTCACTTACCGAAGGTGGCCGGACACGCAACATGGAAGCTTTCGGAAACAAGTGGATCGTGGTAGCTACCGACTACCTCACCCGCTACGCCAAGACAAAAGCCCTGCCAAAAGGCAGTGCATCTGAGGTAGCTAAGTTCTTTGTCGAAAATATCGTCCTACGTCACGGCGCCCCGGAGGTCCTTATCACCGACAGAGGAACGGCATTCACTGCCGACCTAACTCAAGCGATCTTGGCATACAGCCAAACAAACCACCGCCGGACGACAGCGTACCACCCACAGACCAACGGCCTCACCGAGCGGCTTAACAAGACGATCGCCGACATGCTGTCAATGTACATGTACGTCGATGTCGAACACAAGACGTGGGACGCCATTCTTCCGTATGTGACCTTCGCATACAACACGGCGGTGCAGGAGACGACGCAGACATCTCCATACAAATTGGTCTACGGAAGGAGGCCGGCAACGACGCTCGATGCCATGTTACCCAACGTCACTGACGAAGAAAACCTCGATGTGAGCGAGTACCTTCAACGCGCCGAAGAAGCCCGACAACTTGCGCGTCTCCGTATCAAGAATCAACAGACGACCGACAGCCACCGTTACAACCTTCGACGACGCTTCGTGGAATACCAGCCCGGTGAACGTGTTTGGGTGTGGACGCCGATACGCCGACGTGGACTAAGTGAAAAGCTTCTGCGACGGTACTTCGGACCGTACAAGGTGGTTCGACGTCTTGGCCCACTTGATTACGAGGTTGTCCCCGACGGCATCACGAACTCTCAACGACGCCGATCGCGACCTGAAGTCGTCCATGTCGCGCGCCTCAAGCCGTTTCATGCACGTTAACAAACTGAAACAGTGTTTTTTATTATTGTTGTATTGCAATTTATTCATTGTACTTTCTTGCATTATTATTGTACCTTCATCTTTAGTTAAAGCATCGGGACGATGCCTTTTTTCAGAGGGGGGCAATGCCACGTTCCATTTCACAAGTTTTTGTTATCGTTTCGAAACACCACACGATTCTCGGCGCAAACCGCGCCTGCAAGTTTCGAGAAGGTTCCGGGCTATAGTAGATCATTTCGATAAGATCACGCCCACTGTGCGAACGGTACAGATTGTTCTAGAACCTACGCCACCGCTAGCGATAACGCTAGAACATTCGACGGCAAGGGTATAAATGCC